GCTCAGGCAATCCACTCACCTCAGCCTCCCAAAGGCGCGGGATTACAGGCTGAGCCACCGAGCCCGGCTTAATTTTTTTGATTTGTTGTATTCTTTTGATTTATTGATTATTTAATTTATTGTATTACTTTGATTTATTGAGTATTTGGTTTATTGTAGAGACGAGTTCTCACCAAGTTGCCTCAAGCTGGTCTCTAACCCCGGGGCCTTGGCCTCCCCAAGTGTGGGATTGCAGGCGTGAACCATCGCGCCCAGCTTTTTTTTTAAGATTGGAAAATATAGTTTATTTAGAGAGTAAATTGGAGAGAGAGAGAAGAGATTTACCTCCCCAAGGCAGGGGAGGGGGCCAAAGCTAGGAAACATGGCAGCCACTTAGACACACCAGAGTTTAACAAAGCAGGAGCCTACATTTTCTAAGATGCTCTAAGAGGCGAGCGCTGAGGCCTAGTGTCCCAGGACGCACTGGCGGTGTTGGTAGCCCTTTGGGTAAAAGGGTCCCCACGACCCGGACACCTCCCATAGGTGCCGTGCTCCCGGGCTCACTCACCTGCCGTCAAAGTGACGTTGCCGTCGAAGCAGCCCTTGTAGACGCGGTCGCTGGCGTTGTAGCAGCTCACGACAGGGGGCGAGGTTCCCTGGCAGGCCTCGCGGCTCAGCCCCACGCAGCTGTAGCACTGCGCGCCGTTGGGCTCGTGCGCGCTCTCATTGCCTGCGAAAGGATCCGAGAGGAAGAAAAGGGGTCGAGGAGGGCTCGGGGCCAGGCGCGGTGGCTCACGCCTGGGATCCCAGCACTTTGGGAGGCCGAGGCAGCAGGACTGCCCGAGCGCAGGAGGTCGAGACCAGCCTGGGCAACACAGCGAGTTCTCGCCTCTACAAAAATACATGTGTATAAAAATTAGCCCGGCGTAGTGGCGTGCGCCTGTAGCCCCAGCTACTCGGGAGGCTGAGGCGGAAGGACCCCTGAGCCCAGGAGGTCGAGGCCGCGGTGAGCCGCGATCGTGCCACTGTCCTCCAGCTTGAGCGACAGAGTGAGACCCCGGCTCAAAACAACAGGAGGGCTCCGGACCCGCGGCTCAGCTTCTAGCTCCGCCCCTCGGCCCCCAGCCCTGGCCCGGCCCGCGAGCTCGTAGCCCCGCCCCCGGCGTGCAACCTCCCCGTGCCTACAGCGATGAAGCCCCGCCTTCTGCCTCTTGGCCCCGCCCCCTTCCCGATGCAGCCCCGCCTCCACGGACCTGCCGGGTTAAGCGCCCTCGAGGTGAGGTTGAGCTTGGAGTTGCAGCGGTCCTGGGCGCATTGCTGCAGCTGGATGAAGGCCAGAAGCCCGTGCAGGTCCAGTCCGCGGTCATTCTTGCCGGGGAGTCCCGAACCGCAGCCCCGCACTGCCACTGAGAATTGCCCGTGGACTGTGGAGCGGGGAGGGGCGGGGTGAGCGGAGGGCGGGGCCTCGGAGGGGACAATACCCGAGGGCCGACGGGCCGGGATGCGCAGGCCGAGGCCTCCGAAAGAACAGATCTAGGGGAGAGAAGCACGCGAGGAGGGAGGGCCGGGGGCTGAGGCCTAGGAGGCAGACGGGCTGGCCGACCGGGACAGACAGGTCTCGGTGGCGGAGCGGAAGCGGTGGGCAGGATGTGCCCTCGTCCCAAGCCCGCGTCGCCCCATCCACCCCGCCCAGCTCTCAGCCTCGCCCCTCTGATCCCTAATGGAGAAGGCAGGCCTGGAAGAAAGGGGGCGAGGCTGTCCTAAAGGGTCTCCGCGGGGCGGCGAGGGAGGGGTGCGACTGGATTCGGAGGCGGGGCTGGGTTGGCCTCGGGGTCCCACTCACTGGTTTCCACCGCCCCCACGGCCTCTGTGCAGACGTCCACGCCCGGCGCGCACTTGACCGTCTTCATCTTGTGCGCGGAGCAGCCGTCATCCGCCTTCTGCACGCAGCTGTAGCACTCCAGGGCCTGCGCTCCTGGGGGCCGAGCGGAGCAAGCCTCGCTAAAGCCTCCTCCCCCGAAGGAGAACCCGTCCCTCCCACGCCCTCGGTCCCGGAACGAGACAGTCCGGCTGCACACACTCCCCCGGGGCGGCAGTAGGGAAGACAAACCCTCCCACAAATCTGAGGGCACGGGCTACACCGGGCCCCGTTGCTCCACGCCCCCATCCCTGTGATGGGAGCACCTTCCCACAAGCCCCGATGCCCACGGTAGCAGGTCCCTGCCGAGAAGCCCCTCATCCTGGGGGGGGGATACCTTCTCACAGTCCTCTGCTCAGGATAGGAGAACTTTTCCCACAGTGGGCTGTGCTCCGTGAGGGATCCTTCCCACAGCCCGCCCCCTCTGACCAGGGCAGGGGATCCTTCCCACGGGCCCATTCTATGCAAGGTGAGAGAACTCTGCCCATAGCTCCTCTGCCCAGGAGAGGGGAACACTTTCCACAACCTCCTCTGCGCAGGATGGAAGGACTTTTCCTACAGTCCCCTCTAACCATGGGGACCCTTCCCACTGCCCGTGGTGGGGGGCCCTTCCCACTGCCCATGGTGGGGGACCCTTCCCATAAATCTGGGTGGACAGGACTGGGCCCTGTCGATCGATATCCCCTATCCCTATGGTGGGAACATCCTTCCCACAGCCCTGGATGCGCACAGAAGGGGGCCCTCACCATGGAGCCCTCATCTTAGGGTAGGGGGAATACCTTCCCACTGCCCTTGGTAGGGAAGCCTTCCCACTGCCCGTTGGTGAGGACTCCTCCCACTACTCATGGTGGGGGACACGTCCCACTGTCCATGGTGAAGACCTTTCCCATTGCCTCCTCTGCTCAGGATGGGACAACTTTTCCCACAGTCCTCTTCGCTCATAGTGAGAGAGCCTTCCCATAGCCCTCTCTGTAGGGGACAGGGGGAGCCTCCTCCCCAGGAGCCCCCACTCTGCCCTCCCCCCCGCACCCCTCTCCCCCCAGCCTCCTCCCAGCAGCAGACCCACCTTCTCGAAGAAGCAGCGGCAGCAGCAGCAGCCAGCCCGTGGTCCAGATCACTCCCTGGACACCTGTTTTCCTGGCGGGATCCATGGCTCCGTCCTGCTTCCTCGGCGTCCCCCCAGAGTGTGCCGCCTCTCAGCCTGGGTCCTCTTACCTGAGCCCAGGATGAGTAACCTACCCCCGGGCAGCATTGGCCTTGCCCAACCGGGCCAACTCAGCGTCCGCCGTCGGGTGGGGCCCCGCCCCTGGGTGCGTCACCCACAAGGAGAGCGGCCCCTGCCCTGTGCGGTTGGCAAGGAGGTTCAGGGCGGGAGTGAGGTTCCCTGACAGATCATGGGAGAAAGTCTATGTGTGTTTGGGAGAAGGGAGAAGAGTGGGGTGGCTCAAAGAAAGGCAGGGGCTACTCAACATTTAGCACTCAGTGACTCTTTAATGAGCAGCTGCAGTGTGCCTGGCTTTGAGCAGGATGAGGCCGGAAGTGAAGACAGGACCACTTCCAGTCCTCACAGATCTCACTGTCTGATGGGGGAGACGGATGTTAACCAAATCATCACACAAACTGTTCTTTACAACGGAGACCAGAACAGTGACAGAAGAAGCATAGGGTGCCATGGGAGGCGTGAAGTCCAGAGTAGGGACTGGCCTGCAAAGGCTTCCTTGAGGTGGTCATCTGAGATGTGACGCTGAAGACATGAAGACATGAGACATGGTCAGGTGGTGTGGGTCAGAGAGGGGGGCAAAGGACTTATAAGCAGAGGGATCATCACATGCAAAGATCTAGAGGTGGGAAGCAGCCCGGGCCACTCAACACAGGGCACCTGGAACACCAAGGGCCAAGAGGAGAAGGGGAAACTGAAACAAAAGAGTCAGACAGGGGCCAGACTATCCAGGGCATTACACGTCCTGTGGATGTAACTCGGTGGAGAACATTCAAGAGGGTCAAGACCAGCTGGAGGATATGGTCAGATTTACTTCTTAATATATGACTCACCTGGGGAATAGTGCATATATTCATCAATAAGTGAATAGAAATTCCATCACTTTGGGAGGTGAACAAGGGGACTGCCTGAGTCCAGAGGTTTGAGATCAGCCTGGGCAACTTGGCAAGACCTCGTCGAAACAAAAAATCAAAAAATTAGCGCGTGCCTGTAGTTCCAGCTACTTGGATGGCTGAGGCAGAAGGATCACCTGAGCCCAGCAGGTCGAGGCTGCAGTGGCCGTGAGGGTGCCCCTGCACTCCAGTCTGGGTGACAGAGTAAGACTCCAACTCAAAAAAAAAAAAAAAGTGAATAGAAGCCAGATGTGGTGGCTCACGCCTGTAATACCAGAACTTGGGGAGGCTGAGGCCAGAGGATGGCTTGAGTCCGGGAGTTGGAGACAAGCCTAAGTAACCTAGTGAGAGTGCATCTCTAACTGGCCATGGTGGCACGTGCCTGCAGTCCCAGCTACTTGGGAGGCTGAGGTGGAATGATCACCTGAGCCCAGGAGGTCGAGGCTATGGTGAGCCTGGGCAACAGAGTGAAACCCTGATTCAATAAATAGATGATGATAGATGATGGATAGATGATTAAAAAATAAGTGAACGGAAAATTAGAGAGTTCATTTATCCAACAGAATACCACACAGTGATGAAAAAGACCCAGCGACTGGTTCTGTGTGCAGCAACACAGATGAATCTCAAAAACTTTGTATTGAAGCCGGGCTCGGTGGCTCAGCTTGTAATCCCGCGCCTTTGGGAGGCTGAGGTGAGTGGATTGCCTGAGACTGTGGGTTCGAGACCCGCCTGGGCAGCAAGACCTCATCTCTACAATAAATAAAAAAAAAAAATCAGCTGGGAGTGGTAGCGCATGCCTGTGATTCCAGCTACTCGGAAGGCTGAGGTGGAAGGATCGCCGGAGCCCAGCAAGTCGAGGCTGCGGTGGCCGGGAGCGGCCACTGCACTCCAGTCTGGGCGACAGAGTGAGACTC